AACAGGAAGAAGGTACTCCTCGAAGTTCTCAACATAGTGCCTACACCCTGCATCACAAACCTGGGAGAGGGTGACCGTCCCCACTTCCAAGGGCAAAGCAGGGCCTACCATCTCCCAAGAAATAGACCGAGCGACCTTCACCTCGTCTCCTTGATAGTCGACTCCTTTGACCCTGAAAAAATCAGACCAGCCCAACTGCTCAGCGCACTCTTTCCATCCACCCGCGGCAGATGCCTGCTCCAGGAGACCCCCCAAAAGCCGCTGTTGGCAGGGGGTCCCCAAACCTTCTGCGCCAGAGACAGGGGACCCATTCAAATGGTTGAGTGACCACACCATGTTCCTGAGAATAATGAGGTCAACTTCCAATGATGATGGGAAAAGCTTTCTAAGGGAGTCAATAGCTGTAGGCAATGGAAAAACCATGCCCGTGGACTTGGTCAAGCAGCACTCATCCAAAGAAGAAAACAGCGGTTCTCCCAACAGATAAGCTCCCTCACCAAAAGAAAGTCCCCCCATCTCCAACGCCGCCCTCCTGAGACCCTTCGCCACAGCGCCACCTCGAGAGGACAAACCTCCATCTTCTGGGCTGTCATGCAGGGCAAACCCTGGGCGATCTGCTCGAGGCTCTTCATCCGCTGCATTAGCAAATCCAGCGCTTCGGCGGCCCTCCCCTGAACCAGGAGGTCGGAGGCTACCGCCAAAGTAAACGCCTCCCTTGACATAGCCCCATGGAGCTTGTGCTGGAGCACTGCCCTGTAATAGTGTACCGAGATGTGGCCCAGCTCCTTGCTGTGCCCCCAGAGCTGTCCCGACGCTGCCACCAACGATCTCCTCATCTCCAAGATTGCTGTAGCGGCCAGCACCTTGCGGATTCGCTGGGCCTCCTCGAACACCCCTTCTTCTTCGTCCTCGCTGCTCTCCTCCCCTGAAGAGTCCTTGTCCGAGGACTCGAGCTGCTTCTGGAGGGCCTTCAAACTTCGCTTCACCTTCTTCACCACCGCCCGTCTCATCTTCGGATCGGAATCCATACCTGTCTTTGCGAAAAGCACCCCTGGGTCTTTTGCAGCCTCACCCTGAACCTCTTCTTTCCTTTCTTCTTCTTTTTCTTCTTCTTCTTCCTCCTGCTCTCCGAACTGCTGGTCACCGACGAAGGGCTCTTTTCTCTCTTTCTGACCTTGCCCTCCTTGATCACGCCCTCTACTGCTCCTCCTTTTCTGTTCAGCTCCTCCTCCTTGACCCTTAGGGCTGGCATCTCGTCGATCGCCTCGATCCCTACCAGGTTGTCGACCCAAGGCTCCTCGCTCCCGGGGATCCGCAACTTCATCTTCAGGGCGTGCACCAACCCGTCCTCGCACAAAGCCGCCTGGCACTCCAGCCCACAGAGATGTAGCCGGCAACGGCAATTCGGGCTCCCAAACGCCCACTTCAGCAGGTCCTCGCATTGGGTCCCGGTCAAGCGAACCTCTGCTACTGTCCCGAAGCCGTCCTCCTCGATCTTCTCTATCACTCCGCATGCCGAAGCAGGAGCCTCCCAATAGACTCCCTCAGTGACCACCACGCTTTGCCCAGGCCTCAACAGATGCTTTGGGAGGTTTGCCACACTCAAGACCTCCCCCCTTTGAAACCGATCCTCAACCCCAAGCTCTTCGCTGGCTGCCGGTCTCCTCAGCACGGGAGGTACCTCCCCTCCCCTTGCAATTGCCGGCTTTTTGAATGGGAGGGCTCCTCTCGCCTTAGCTCTCGCTTTTGCCTTGGCCGCTGCCTTCGCTGCAGCGGCTCTGATCCTCAACTTGGGAGGCATCAAGAATGCCTACTTCCCTTACCTTTTCCTCCTCCTTTGCCTTTTCCACCAGGGTACCGCTCTCTATACCACCTTTGCTGCTCCCTCTTTTTCCTGCCCTTGTTCTTTCCTCTGCGCTCCTCACCTCGGCTGTTGGGGTGGAGCAGCAAATCCCTAATGAACCCTCCGGGATTCCTCCTGATTGGAGACCTACTCCTGCTTCTCCTATCCACCTCCGACAACTCCTCACCTGAGCTCTCTTCTCCCTCAGCACGAACCTCACCACCAATCTCTCCTCTTTCCACTGCACCCTCACTAGGCCTCCTAAACCGCTCCTCTGGCACCAGATCTTTCTCTCTCTCCTCTGCAGCCTCAGCTCCCGACGAAATGGGAGAGGTGGGCGTCCTCTCCCTTCTCCTCACAAAACCCGCACGATCCTCCTCCTTCTCAGCTCCTTCTCCTCGAACTCCAGAAGAGCCACCTACTTGCACCCAGGGAGGATCCTCTCCTCTTTCCTTCGGTTCCTTTCCTCCCAAACAAGCCTTCTCCTCCGGCAGCTCTTCACCTCCGCTCCTCGATGACCTTGACCGCTTCCTCCTTTCTTCTTTCTCCTTCTTCTCCTCCCTTTTTCTCCTCTTCTTCTCCTCCTTCTTTTCCCTCCTTTCTACCTCCTCTCTCTTGCCAGCCTCTTCTCTTTCTTGGGAGGAGGGGGGACCTGCCAAATCCCCCCCCTCCCCAGGAGCTCCTGCTGCTGGAGGGGACCCGGCGGCGGGCCCACCTCCCTTCCCTCCCTCACAGGGAGGCCCCGAGGGAGCAGCCTGAGCCGAAGCCCACTGCTCCCTATCCCGAAGGTCAAGTAACTCCCCTTGAAGGAGTCTGACCTTTTCAAGGGCCCGAAACCAAAAAGAAATGGAATCGGACCCCAAACAAAGATCTTTAACCCTAGCTAGGCTAATGCACAAGTCACAGGGGCACACGCCTACGGAGGCGTGACCCACTATGCTCATGAAGCCGAAATCTCGCGGACATGCAAACCGAATTCATCTTTAAACACCGGGACGTTATGTCATATATATAACAGGCATATGCTTTATACAAAATACCTAGAACTTCCTGCGGCGGAAAATTCTGCCGCAACGCATTGCGGCGGAAATTCCCGCCGCATTCCAGAAAATCAGCCGCAAACAAAAAAAAACACCGCAACCAAAACAAGAACGCCGCAACACCGTTTGCTTTCCGGGAATTTCCGCCGCATTCCCGCCGATTTCCACCGCATTCCCGCCGATTTCCGCCGGACCGCCGCAAATCGGGGGGTAGAAAAAACTGAAAACAAGTTCTGCCGCAATTCAAAAAAAACGCCGCAAATCAGGAATAACTGTTTGATTTGCGGCAGAAATGTATGCCGCAGCGAATCTCTAGGTATTTCTTGTGTATATATATATACATACACGTACTGCATACTTGAGAAGGGCGGACTGAAAGCTGGCACTGTCTGCCAGAAGTTCCAACACTGCATTTGATTCACCCTACAAGTCCTCCTCGTTAGCCATGACCCCCGCAAACAGGAGTTGAAACTTTTGCCTCGTGCCAGGGGAAGGGGCAGCTTCACACTCGCTCTTACACCATCTGCCACCCTTCCCGGCACCCCAAATCAAAAATCAAGCGAGGCCTCCGAGCACTTTCGGGATGTACCCTCCAAACGTGGAAGTGCACACTCCTTTTGGCAAAGGGCGATGTGCACTTGGTGGTGGGATGGTATGCATTTATTTGTATTTGTGGTCCATAGCCTGCCGTTCGCAAAGGCACTGCCGTGGCGGAAAAGAAAGGCTGGCTCTTTCTTTCCCAGCCCGGCCGGCTGTACCATTTCCACCAAGCGGCTTGCTTAATATGATTCTCTGGACATTTAACATAGACCTATGCCGAGCAATGCAAAAATGGACGGGCATCATTGCTTTGCACTTGCAAGAAGTGGGGAAGCAAACGCTTCGGACCTTTGCAAGGCTCTGCCAGCAGCTGAACAAACACACTGATATTCAAAAACTGCAAACCTCACTTTGACATGCCCCTGCCTTTCATGTAGTAGGAACTGCTGGGATCTGGGGCATGCCACGAACTACGCGCGGGTAAACAAAGCTCTTGGCAAACGGCGAGCTGCTTGTGGCACTTTGGGAAAAATGAATGCTGGCTTCATCACAGTAACACCTGCGAAATGACCCACACGCTCCCAACACACCCAACAGCAAGCCGGAAACTCTCAACGTGTCCACCTTGACGGGCCCAGCTATTGAACATCACCTCCAAACTGGCTGGAACAGTTCAACAGCCAACAAATTTGCGTGTCTCCCGCTTCGAAGGGATGCCAAAAGGATATTCCCCTGCAAAAGAGCTTTCTTGACACTGCTCATGTTCGGGAATCTTGTATGGGTATGCCTCTGTTTGGGGTGTTCGAAAAACCAGTGTTTTATCGTTCTTTCAAGTCGCAACTTTTCAGCACGAAAGTAGTAACCAAAGTAAAACCCACAGCCCAGCTCGAAAGTCGCAACTTTTCAGTTTCAAAGTCGTACGCCATATGCCCTTCCGCAGCAGCAGCTCTAGCTCAAAAGCTGTGCAGCAGCGCAGAAAGGGACCTGTCATGGAGTTGGGGGAGCTTGTTGGAGTGGGTCCAGTTGAGCGCAACTTTCCAGCCGGAGGTTCGCCAATGTTTGGCGCAAGATCTGCAAAGCTGTCGCGAAAGTCGCTTTCTGCTGGGGTTGCCTTTGCGGCCGTGCCTTCCTTCGACCAACTTTAGTCTGTGTGCATTCTGCGCAGCAAATTCACTACGACACTCAGCTCCGAATGCGCAACAGCGTGCTCAATGCCAATCATGGTCCAAGTGAGTCGCTCCTTAGCAACTGTGCATGAACATGCTTAATCTTCAAGGCAAGGTTTTCCATTTGAACCAAATATCGGGGATGCACAAACATCGATTTGCCTCAGAAGGGAGCCTAAAGCACCCTCCCGCCAGCAAAGCTAGAAGTGCACGGCCTCCATCTGGCAGCATGCGCTTTCTTTTGAAGAGGGATCAGCTCTGCAATTCAATGCTGCTTGGCGCAAGGATAGGTGACAAAGGTCGGCCCCGGATGAATAGACCCTGGGGATGAATTGGCTTCGGTGGAAAAGGTCCAACGCCTATCGCGTGAACTGCGCGCAGTTCCTTCCGACCGACTTTCCGCGGCCACCATCACGAGAGCAGGGGCTGCCGGGCGTCACCTGAAGCAAAGCGGGGGATCCGTGATCCTCATGCGTAATGCGTGACCTCAGCCTCCTCACCTTGAGTAGGTTGGCAGAATCTACTTCGTCCATGTGCTCTGTTTACCAACATGGCCTTCCCAAAAAGTGAGTCAAACTTGGGAAGTGAGCCGAACCTCCTCCCAATCCCCACATTATTGCTCCACAAAGACTTTAGTGGTGTTCCATTTGGCAAGTGGGTTGGGATCCTGTGATCCTGAAGAGCACAGTTGGCCGTCGTGTCTTCGCACGGGCTGGTGCTGCTCAAAGCGAAAAGCGGGAGCTCGTCAGTCAGTTGTCAATGGCAAGTCCTGTAGGCACTGCGAACTCACGCCGCCACATTTTTGGAAGTGTACCTAGCATAAACACTGTGCATTTGGGATGAACCCAATGGACATGCAAATTGTGATGGCTGACACAGAGTCGCAATAACACATCAATGCACAGAACTGCGCGTAGCAAGGCAAACCAACAACACAATCACACATTGGCGAAAGACTTCGGATCTATCCAGTCGACCATATGCATCGGAAGAACCCCCAGCCCAAAATACAACGTACAACCGAAACCAATCTAAAACAATATATAACTTCATACTTCCAGCCTGTCTATACGGGCACTATTCATTATTCGATGGGCTCAAAGCAAACAAACAACCTGGCATACGTGGACACTCCCCGCTCTGGACAGCAGGCTAGGTCTGGGTATGTCTGGGTTTATGCAAGCAACATTTCACTCGGCCTTCAACATGTGGTGAACAGGACATCCAGCCCCCGCTCCCAACGCCCGGACCTTGTCTTGAAGGTGCATGGTGACTCGAATGGACCCAAGCAGTCCAAACCAGTACCAGGTTGGGCTTTGACGCTCTACAGAAAGCAAAGCCTTTCCCTGATGAGTGGGGAAGCAGTGAAGGTCGACAGTTGGAGGCATCAAATGGCCAAATTCAAGCTGGGCAAATGAGGCAGCATCTTCCGAACCGCAAGACCCGCCTGATGTGTTTGAAGCCCTCCTCAGCAATGTGGCACAGCATTGCCCAAGGTGCAAAGCTCCCTCTCTCTCTCTCTCTCTCTCTCTCTCTCTCTCCCTCCCCGAAGTACCCTCCAGCGATTGCGCGGGAGCTTCTAAACAACTAAAATCAACAACTTGCTGGTTCTCAGTCATGAGGAAGGGCTTTGGGAATGAACCTGGGGATCCCTTAAAGGGAGTAACCAGGGATGCTTCATAGAGGTCATTCTCTCATTCCCCACGAAGCACAACCCAATGGTCGGCTCCCGTCAAGGCGCCGCTCGAGGCTCACTGAGACGCTTCGCTCCGGTGGTGCCGAGGCGGCGTTCAGCTTGGACGGCACCTCATGCTCCGTGGACCGAAGAATCGCGTGCGCGCACGTGCCACACGCCCCGACCCTGTGCCTGCACTGCCCAGTCGCCATGGGCAAGGGGCACCGCTGTTCTTTTTCCGTTTTCCACATGGGCCCCTAACCCTCGAGGAACAGCCTGGGCAAGGCGAACTTGGGTCCTTGACTTGGCCAAACTTTCGGGCTGCGCACGTGGCTTTGAACTGGCAAGAAGACTGCGCGGAGACAATGAGAGATGGGAGAGCCCAAGTGTCACGCTGAAAAACCTTAGAACTTCCTTGTAGTGGCTAGAGAAGCAGAAGATGCGTACAAACAGCATGCCTGCATCTGTTCGCCTTGTTTGTTGTTGATTCGGGTCTGGAAATAATTTGTGCCGACAAACGTGCCACTTTACTAGTCACTTTTTTGGGGGGGGATAAACGTAGTGGGCTAATGTGGGCTAGCTGTGTTCTTGCGATGTTGCCAAAATGCTCTTCCCTGACTTTTGAAGTAGCAACTAGCCGTGCTCGAAAACTCTGCAAAGAAGCCATAGGGGATGGTTTATAGGGGTCATTTCATTTCTCATTCCCTGCCTACTTGGTTTTTGTTGACCCCTCTGCAAAAGTTTAACTTTTTGTGGGTTTAGTGGAAAACCCAACTTGATTTTTTCAGAAGGTTAAAGTCTAAAGATCCAACCCAAGAGCAGTCAAGGCCTATCAAAACCCAGCAACAGCCCCAAACAAAATCGACTCCATCCATCTCCGTACGGGCGGCCCAAAGCAGCGCTCGGAAGCCGCTGGCCTGAGCGAAGCACGAAACCCGCCCGGCTCAGTGAGCCCGGTAGCAGGGCGGTTGGTCGGGGTTGAGACACTGGGAGCAAAGCCACCAAATACAAAATCCCTTCCGGAATCTAACATTCTATTCTTGTTGGCGTTCTAGATACCAGGGAAAAACAGAGCTAAGCCACCAAATAAAGAGATTGCTTATCTCCCCGCGTCTTAGTAGCAACCAACCAAAGAGTCTATCACCAGATTCTAAGCCACCAAACAAATCTTCGCGGGGATTCTAAGACTTGCTGGTCTTGGTATCTAAGGGACTGAACACCTGGATTTTGCCACTGGGTTTTCATGAAACGCTCTAAAGGCTTAATAGGTTCCAATTGCAAGGTGCAATAGCCAACCCCGAATCGATGCTGTACCCACAGGCCGCTGCGGGATACTTCGGAGGTCAATGGGTCGACTTGCAACTCAAAAGCAACATCAGCCGCAGTGCAAGCATAAGAAATGATGGTCTCACAAATCAGGTGAATGGCATCAGAAACACGCTAGTTCTCCAGGTGAGCTACCCTTTGGACAAAGGAAGCAGGCTGTGGAAGCAGGCTGTCAGCGTTTGACGAGCAACAAATCTTAAGCTTCCATACCAAACATTGCTCCAAATAAGTCCCGCCTTACGGCAATACCGCAAAACCAAAGTGGTGGTAGATGTTGTTCAGCTGCTTGACCCGTATCCACAGAAAACACTATTCACAGGGCTGTCCTGGGCTTGAACCATGTTCGGCACACTTTCGTCGTGGGAAAGGGGATGCCTTTACTGGGGTGTCCAAAACCATGTGCCAATATTACTCCCAACCGGGGCGATCGCTGCCAAGAGGGCCTCTTTCATATCCCATGTGAAAGATGAAGGATTGCCATGAAAACAAACAACAACAACTAAGCCCTTGGCGTTTGGCACGCCTTGGGGGAGGGGGGGTTCCTGCAATCAAACATGTCCACCCCACCATTTGTGGGTCAAATGGGGGAACGCCCAGAAACACATACCCTCCCTTACAGCTTGCTGGGATATGTTCATGTCGAGCCTTAGGCTCGGGTCACATTGTCGTTCGCCTGCATCTTTCGCAGTATTCTAGGCATCACATGTGCCATGGACATGTGCCACGGTCCAATTTGCTCCGCCCTAAATAGACATGACATGGGCAAAATGAAGAGTTCCCCAGCTTTTGTGCAAAACACCTTGAGGGCCCCCCTGCTTCAACCGAACCCTCACTAAGAAACCACTTCAACTACAAAGTAGGCGGAGTCTGCTACCGCCGTCAGGGATCCATGACTTGTGGAAAGTCTAGGTGCACCGTGAAGTTGACCGTGGGACTTAAATTATGGAGCTCGTACCCCCCCCCTAACCACCCCGCTTTAAGCTTAAAGGGCTTCTCTTGCAGGGGAGGCTTAGGAAGCCTTGCGGAAGCCTTGGGGAAGCTTGGCCTGACACTCGCCCTGCGCATGGCGGGAACACTAGGGAGGCTCTTGGGGAACTGTGAAAAGCTGATTAGACAAGAAATGCCGCCCAAACCTGCAAATTGGGTTGGGAAGGGACCTTTCGAGAAGCCCTAAGGAAGCCCTAGGAAGCCGTAAAAAACCTTGGGGAAGCATGTTTGCGCAAATCTAGGGGGACGCACTTTCAGAAAGAGCAGTTCAAATCTCTGAGTTCCCTAGGTTAGGGAGACGCAAAGTACCTCAGCTCGAATCTCCGATCAAAATCAAGGGGTCTGTTAGGTTCAGCTTCGGAAGGCTTAGGGAAAATGCTGATATATCAGCTTCCTAGCCACCCTAGGGATAGGACCCAACTACCTTACGGGGGGTAAACGCATTCATAACCATTCTACTTCCTTGGTGACACCAATATCTCAAACTTCCTCACTGCCGTCAGAATGCACGATTCTCTTCCCTTCTATTCTTTTCAGGGATTCCACTTTTCAGCAGACAGCACAACTCTGAGCTTCGGCCAAAGCGCGTTGGAGAGCTGTTCGTACTCGATGCCTCGGGGGCTGGATAGGCGATACATGAGTGGCCCGCTGGACATGAGCCACGTTCCAAATGACGTGTTCCCCATGAACACGTGGAAATTTGGCGTGCCCGGTGCTGGAACATTCGGCTTAGTCATGCCCCTCCCAATTGGAACAAAAACTATTGGTGTTGTTGTCTGATCCTCACACGAAACACTAAACATGGGCTGGAACCAATGTTCCCCCCGGCCCAAGAAACGCACACAGTCCGCTGAGAATCATGTTAACAAGCAACACCCTATAAAACTGTCCGCCACCTAACGGAGCCGATGCATTCAACAGCGAATTGTTTAGCAGATGGTGTAGCCTGAAGCAAGCAGCAAGTTACCTCCTCATTCACTGCCATGAACAACTTCCTCATTGCCCAGACAGCCCATAGAATGCACTCCCCCAAAGGCAACAGTCCTCCATGGGTGATTATTGAGGTTCTATGTGAGCTTTCGAAGAGTACAGAAGTATTGCTCAACAAATGAAATAGTCGTTCCAAACTATCGTAGTGCGTTGTGCTCTGCTATTCAGCAGTAGGAGCTTGCCCAACCCTTTCGATCTTTGGGGGGGGTTCCTCAAAATTCACCTTCAAGGAAGAACTCCACTTTGTGAGCCTCTGAGACGAACTTTTGTTGGCTCTCCACGTGTTTCTTATGCTTTTTTTGGGCACGCAACAAGCGGTTTCCCTCGAGGTTTCAACCCAAGCGAGGCACGCAGCACTGCCCACATGGAGCGACGCAGGATCTCCACCGAGGACATCAAGGAAACAAAGATCACCCGCGAAACGATGTTGCCTCAGAAGTGTTTCACAGGCTTCTTTCGGCCCCAAGTTTCTACCCCAAAGCCGCATTGATAGTTGGGCGAATGTAGATGGCACAGTTGTGACATCTATTCCAAGTTTCTACCCCAAAGCCAGGCAACCATGCATTGATGGTTGGGCGAACGTGGATGGCGCAATTGTGACATTTGTTTCACGCCTAATTCGCGCCTACTTCTCACCCACCGATTTCAGCAGCTACGGGAACCCAGTGCCAACGCACCCTCGTGCAAGTGGCCAAGCAACTTCCGTGGCTGATCCCCAAATGAAATATATATATATATATAAGAGACCCCTGAAAAACCGGCCAGGCCGGGCTTGCTCGATTCCTTTCGTTGAAGCAGTTGTTGGGATCGGGTCAACAATGTTCTGGCTAGCAGTTGGCTTGGTCATTTCAATTCAACTTGGCCCAGTGGCCCGAGCAAGGTTTCGAAAGCCAAAGCAAACATTCAGCCAACAAAACTTGGCCGACTCTCGCTTCACTGATATGTGCCGTGGTCCTGTCTGAAAGCCACAGATGTCACGAAATGGAACCCCTTTGCAATGCTGTTTGTGGGAACAAAAGTCAAGCTGATGAAAACCGCGTCGCTAGCCTAGCCAAACGGAACGCAAGGCATCTGCTCCCACGCTCCATTGAGTGTGCTTGTATGGCTGCCGTGCCACGCTGATTCTGCCACTTGCGAAAGAAGCTTGTGGCAAGGTGAGCTGCAAAAGGTTCCCGCACATTTGTGGGTGCAGTTCAGTAACACTTCCAGCAGGCGCGGCTAGGTGTAGATAAACAAAGCAAGTGATCAAGCATAAGCAAAGTCACTTTCATCAAGATCAACGAGACAAGGAGGTATCAATCACACACGTGGGTGCAAAACACACCTCCAGGAAATCGGAAGCCCTTCTTGCTCATTTTCAAGGTGAAAAGGTGAAGCCCGAATCGACCACTGGGTTAAAGCTGGTGCCTAACATTTAACCGCCAGTAAGACTGGACCAAAAACCCATGGCCAACGGACTTCGCTTGAGCGCAAGGTGCCGGTGACAAGGCTGGTCGGCATCAACGTAAACACCTGGGAAGGCTCGAACTGTGTCACAGCGGGAGCTTTCCACACACCGCACTCGCCCTTGGCCAAGCATCCTTTACCATTTGTCCCCCCAGGGAAAAAACATATATATATATGAAAACACGTTTGTTTCAGGACGATGGTAGTCTTCCAAGAGCTCGTCCGCACACATCTGGCGGCCAAGCTATCTTTGAACTGGACACGCTGTTGTCAAGGTGGGCATCTCTACATCAGACTCAGCCAAGTAGACGGAGAACTGCGCCACGTTTAACAAATTTGTTGGAACATCAAAAAAGAACGCTCTGCGCCCTGACGTGTGACTAGTGTGTACGAGGTGGCCTGGAAACTTGTGGTACGCAACCACGCGCCCCAGCTGACGACAGGCGACGAGTCTTTTGAGTGCTATCCGGCCACTGCTTGCGACAAGGACGGAAACAATGACCGAACAGGCAAATTAAATGAAGACCTGCTTCGACGCAGTCGCCAGAACCCAATGCATATGCCGGCTCTCGCATATCTGATTTTTGTTTGGCCATCTTCCATGTGCTGGGGTTGCTCCTTAAATATGGCCATCAGTGGCTCATGCGCCCCCGAAATCAGCCAATACGTACACAGACCGGGAAACAACTAAGAAACCCTGAAGCAAAACATCCGTTCAGCTTGATGGCCAAGGCTTTGCAACGCGAAGGCACCCAATCTTCGCCAGCCCCAGGAAGTTGCCAATATAATATTTCCTTTGCCGCACACACTGGCATTCTAGAGATTAAAAAGGACAAACACCGTATCACACCGTTCCTCCATAACCACGAAGTGCTTACACGCTGTTGGGTTGAGAATGTCCTGGCCCCAGGCCCAAGCCCTGAATATCCAGCCAAGTAGCCCAGGTGGAGCGTGCCACTAAGTCGAAGAGGCTGCAAAGCCAGTACACCTGCGAAGGCTCTGCCGGGGTCGCTTTGCCCCGTTGGCTCCGGGACATGTGCAGTACAAGGCGAGAATGCTTCATTAAATGGCGGAAGTAACAGGCTTCTTAAGGTGTTCCTTAGGAGTCTTCTTTTGGATGTGCCCCCCCCACTTTGCGAAACGCGCAGGCCAGGGATTTCCAGTTCCACGTTTTTGGCGGCCAGCATGTAGATACAGGTCTGTGGTTCATGTCACTTAGAAGTGGGGCGACAGTGCACGAACCTCACCCTTTTCGAACCTCCACCTATTTCATCCCACAAAAGGGGCCAAACTGAACCAGCACATGAGGGTGGCTCGGATGTGCCTCACATCAAGCGGGATCGGCCACCGCGCCTTTCTGGGGAAATGTCGCTGGATCTTCTGTGGCTGCCCGTGCCTCGTTTCGCGAACGTCGAAGTGCAAACGGGATGGAAACCACGACTTGACGAGCTTATCTTCCACTGGGTAATCACGGGTCCCTTACTTTGAAAGGAAACACTTGCCTAGGTGCATCGTTCAAGAAAGCCCCACCCTGCAGCACTTGTTTTACCCAGGAGATGCTCTTAGAGTCTTCATCGTGGCCAATTTGCACCCCGCAACAAACAACTCTGGAACTTTCTTGTTGGGTGGATGGGCTGAAAGTAGTGCAAACTATCTTTGTTTGCAACTGAAACTGTCTTCCCAAAATGCTCTGGAAGTGAGGTAACATGATTGCAATTGCGATGTCGGCGAAGCCAGCATCAATGGCCTCCGTAAGGCCGCTTGAACTGTCCGAGCTCAAAACAAACGATCAACAGAATCGGAGCGGCGTTGCTCAACACCGTATCGCTCCATGCGAAGGTATGGCCCTTCAAGCTCAGGAAATCTCGAGATCCTTACGACTGTCTTTTGGTTGAACCCTTGGGTTTGTTTTGAAATCAAGAGAAGTGACCACTGGGCCTGGGGCCGACCAATCACCACCAGAAAGAAACTCAGTGATCCTTCAAAAAGGAATTCGATCCACAAAAAGAAACAAACTCACAACTCATCCGTCTCCAGGGCGGAACTGGGCGGTAAAACGGGAGGGTCTAGACTTTATTCGCGGTGGTCTGGGAGGGACGGTTGGTTTTCTGGTCACGGCAAGGCGTTTCACGCCAAGAAGCTCGTGGACGTGGCCGTTGGCCTCCGCAGCATGAGCACTGCGCAGCAACCTGAGTGGAAAGAAATTGGTGCCCATGTTTCTCCTGGCCTTAGATCCTATTGATCTTACTGTGGGAAGCATGGATCTTCTGGAATTGGAAGGGTTGTTCCATGTTGCCCCCCTCCAGATTGCAACGCATGCTTAGCCAAGGAGGGGCCTTTTGGTCATAGGGGCGGACGCTCTTCAGTCACATCTGCCTTGTAGAATATCAGATGTTGACTATTTGCGTCGGAAATGCAGCAGCACCCAATTTGCGACCATGTGCTGTTTGGCACCCTGGTAGGCTTCTGTCACATGTTGCCTCGAACATGAACCGCTGGTACTTGTCCAGCTGTTTCCCACTCAACCTGCCTCAACTGCGTGCCTTTGCAATGTTACTTCTCACCGCGTAAACTGGACAATTGAGGCACGGTTGGCAAAGCCGAACTACATATGATCGGACAATATTCTTTCAATCACACCGTGGTGTGGGAACGGTGGCGCCCCATGTTCCACCGAGCCAATTGGACGCCTGACGCTCTAACTTCGGGGTAGCGCACGTTGACCTAAAGCCTAAAGCCGTCAGTTTGCCGGAAGCCTACCCAAAGGCTTCAACGCCTTTCTCCGCCAAAACCTTCGTTGAATCTTGAAGAAAACGCCTGGCCCTGCGCAAAACCCTTGGGCCTCTGAGAACATGTCCTTAGGGACCAGCCGCTCCTCCCTTCCCGTGGCCAAGCCACTCTGACAAGCCAAGACCCCAGTCCAGGAACACCTCGGAGCCCAAAACAAGTGCCTATCTGGAACCTCAACTCAACCTGAAATGACGGTCCCTATGAAAGGTCCCTTCATGGGCGAGGCTGCAAAACCTTGGCATTGGAATTCACCTGAAGCATCCCTGAAAACACCCCAAATAGGTTGCTCCTCCAATTGAAGCTGGATCCGCATGCGTTCCCCTGTGAAACCATCCGTTTAAAAGGGTCCTCAGCTTTAGGAGATCGCGTGTCCACAAAATCCCAAGCTCAGCACCTTTGGCACCCTCATCAGCGAATGGGGTGTGTGTGTGTGTAGTTAACCACTCAAACCGGCGCAACTGACCTTCTGGTGCTTTCACTTCACATGGACCACACATGCAAAGCATGAAGGTCGAAAAAAACAGAGAAAAAAACAGTTGAACACTAAAGTGTCCCTCAGCGCAGGCAGACTGTTCAAGGTAGGCGCCATACGGTATAAACGCTCAAAATCAACATGTCCACAACCAGATTGTCAAGATATCCCAAAACCCAGCGCTTTCGCATCACATGCGGAGCCTCATGTGGCCGAAGAAAACAGTGTTGCACAAAGCGGAATCCTGAGCTTGTATCTCATCCGCACAATTGATGTATAGAGCGGGAAGTATGTCCAGCTGAAAAGTGCAGGCGGGTGAGGCACAGGGGCCAAAGGTGCGACTACCAACTTAGGTTGGTCCCGAGACTTCCCTTTGTGAAGTTTCACTGACACATCACCCCACCTAAAGTATTCTCACTTTGAACTGGCTCGTAACCCAAGGAAAGGCACTAACGAAGGACTTTGTAAAGCCCAGCCCCTGTCTGGGGAGCAAAAAGCCTGCTTCATGGTTCGCTCAAGACAAGGCTGCAGGCAGCGACAACGGGCTAGTGTCGCTCGTGCTGGGGTCACGCTGCGTAGCTAGCGAAAACGACGACGACAACGACAACAGCAAAAACAGCAACAGCAACAGCAACCACAACCACCACCACCACCACCACAACCACCACCACCACCACCACCACCACCACCACCACCACCACCACCACCACCACCACAACCACGAC